TCATGATAGTCTCTGCCAATAGAAGAGTCACTAAAGCTATTATTTTGAACTGACGTGAATAAAGCATTGTATTAAATATGTGTGGCAAAATTAAACTGCTTTTAGCTCAGAATTTACAGACCTTGAATTTAAATGCTGTTATTGAGATGCAGAGCATGCTACAACTCTGCGAGGACGTCTTCTGATGACTTCAAAGACCTGACGTATTCACATGGTCTAAACTAATACTGTAAATTTGGTCTGTATAACAAACATACATCTTATGTTTATGGATTGGAATTTGGATGTGATGGCCGCTCTAACCTTAATGATCCAAATCCTTATACTGTACAGTATGTTGATTTCCTCACTCAAAATATTAACAATATTGTCAGTTTTCTGCAAATTTTATTTATCATACAAGATAAATGTACATAAGCGCCCCTGTGATCGACTGGTCAACACGTTTGCCTAACAGTGCAGAGGTGCAGGGTTCGATTCCAGCTCCTCCGGCCTTCCTGTGTGGAGTTTGCAATGTCTCCCTGTGCCGACGCGGATTTTCTCCGGGGACTCCGGTTTCCTCCCACATTACAAAAACACGCATGGCAGGCTGAGTGAACACTCTAAATTGTCCCTCGGTGTGAGTGTGAACGCCGATATCTATCTATCTATCTATCTATCTATCTATCTATCTATCTATCTATCTATCTATCTATCTATCTATCTATCTATCTATTTATTGATTTGTTTATTTTTTAATCTGTGCCAGTAGACCAAAGGGTTCAGTAGTAATCCAGAGGAGTTTGGCTGCATATATGGGATGAAACAATGTCACGAATGGAATATGGGCCCATCATAGGGAGATGGAAAGTTTATGTGATATTTTGATTCACCTGTGGAGTTCAATTGCTGCTGTGATAATGCAAAATTTGTCGAGTGCAAAAGTGACGCTAATGTTGTTGCAATTGTTATCCAGTACAATTGAAATGATCCAGTGACAGTATTTTAACGTAATCTGAAATCGTTAGCCAGGAAAATATGCTCCAAACAAAACAATGCACATTTAAAATTGCCCACATTGGTCATTCAGTCGTGCTCTCACTTTTTCAGCTGTGAATGTTTAGATTTATTGGGCTTTGCATTTTCTCTCCCAGGCCATGCATTATGCATGACAATCGGAGTAACACAGAATAATGGTTGTGTCAGAAAAAATTGGCGCTGTATCTTTGACACCTGCCTGCAATTGTAAACAAACTGATGTGCTCTGAGCAGTTCCTAACAACATATCTAGTTGTTGGTATACGTGCTCTGAAAAGCTGCAGCGAAGGAAATATTTGCTGGCTGAACAAACATGCAATGCAATCATAAAATAATGGGTAAAAGAAAATGGTGGCAGCTAAAAAGAGAATTAATAATGACCAGAAACAAAATCCGCATAACTGTACAGCTCAAGTCAAATGACCTGGAGACTCCATCTATCAATCAATCAATCGATCGATCAATAGATTGTGAAATCACTGCATGTAAGTGGCCGAAAACCAACATTGAATGCCGAAAACCAACATTGAAGGCCCTTGACCTTTGATCGCTCAGACAGCATTGCATTAAAAAAATGAAATAAAAAATCATTGTTGTAAGTAAGGACATCACCACGTGGGGTGAGGAAGACTTTAGAACACCAATGTCAGTAAATAGTTTGGCCCTACATCTGTACTTGCAAATTAAAAACGTTTTGCAAACTGTTCGATCAGTGGTTCTTAACCTTCTTGGAGGTACCGAAACCAACCAGTTAAAATGCACATTCACTGAACCCTTCATTACTGAAAAATAAATCAATTATATATATATATATATGTATATATTTTTTTTTTCAAGATAAAACACATTTATTAAAAACAGAAATAATTAAATAATTGAACGATGTACTATCTCGAGAGTCACACGTTGACTACTAAGCGAACTAAATTTCCCGCAGCACTGATTGAACAAGCAATGTAATGTGATCATCTGCAGCCAGTGATGGCCAAGCGGGCGTGTCATAACTAATTGACGTGTTGAGTTGGGTGTGTCTTACCCTCCATGGCAGAGGCTCCATCAAACCCCTGAGAGCGATTCACTGAACCCCTAGGGTTCGATAGAACAAAGGTGAAGAACCACTGTGTTAGATTAAGTCTCTTCGGCGCATATACATGCAGTTTCATGTTCGTAGCAGCCTCTACTGTTAAAAAGTTGACATAACAGGTTTAGAGTGGTTCATTAACTGGCCATGCATGGTTTTGGAATGTGGGAGGAAACCGGAGTAGCCCGTGAAAACCCACGCAGGCATGAGGAGAACATGCACGCTCCATACAGGAAGGCCGGAGCTGGAATCAAACCCCACACCTCTGCACTGTGAGGCGGACTTGCTAACTAGACGTCCAGCAGTTAAATGGTGCAAATTGCCACTTTCTACGCTGTTTCACAATCGTTCTACACCATAAAAAAATATATGGAGTAATATTTCGCCCCTCTCGCTGCCCCTCAGCACACTGAAACACTGATTCACGCTTTTATCACCTCACGATTCGACTACTGCAAAAACATCTTTTACGGCTTACCCGCCAAAAACCCTCAAAAAACATCAATGCATCCAAAATTCTGCTGCCCGTCTCCTCACCCACTCTCGTAGCAGACATCAACTCAACCCAACTGTATTTATAGAGCACTTTCAAACAGCCATCGCTGCATACAAAGTGCTGTACATGGAACAACTAACATATACAACAGTAAAGCAACAAATCACATCACCCCAGTCCTCCAACATCTACCCGGGCTCAATTCCAGTTTAAATTCTTCTCATCACCTTTAAGGCCCTTCACAACCTTGTCTCCTCCTACCTCACTGACCTCCTTCACTATCCGACCCCGACCTGCAATCTGAGATCTGCCAACGTCAACTTCCTCACCCCTCCCATCCGAACCAAGCACCGGACCGGGGTAGACAGAGCCTTCTCTATCGCCCCCCCTCCCTTTGGAACTCCCTCCCTCATCACAGTACACACACACACACACACACACACACTCCCCTCTTTTAAAACGGCACTAAAAACCTGTCACATTGCGCTGTTTTTTTTTGTTTGTTTGTTTGTTTGTTCCAGCACCAGCTGGCGTATAGGGCGTCATCCTTCAGCGGTGCACCTGTGCCTGATCAAGGCAATCAAGTGGCTGCATACTTAAGGACTCCGACTTCTTGTCTCTTTTGTCGGACTGTTGCTCTTGTTCACTGCTATTGCCCAAGTTCTATGTGATAGATCTCACGTTCTTGTCCCTAGTCACTCTCCTCATCATAGAATATTTTGGTTTGTGATTATTTGTTAAATCACTGAATTTGTTCTTGGTTTCGTGTGATTGAACTAACCTCATTTCATTTTACGTATTTCTCGGTGATCGTTCTGTCCTTGTAATTGGCAAGCAAGCACTTTCTGTTACCATTTGGTTTTCCTGGCTTTTTGTCGTCAGCGCTTTTTGTTGACTACTTTGTCAGTCTCTGGTTTTTCTTTAAATAACCTCTTTTGTTATCGCCATTTATCTGAGTCTGCGTTTATGGGATCCACACTCCATCAGGTCTGAGTCCAGACCATTTGTCAAAACCCACCTGTCCAGATCTGCGTTTAACCTGTAATGCATAATCATTTGTCCAATATAATCTCTCAACATAATTTTTTTTGTCTTTCTTTTTACACACACTGGCATGTATATAGTTTTTTATGATTGCCTTATTTTTCGAGGGTTTTTTTTTTTGTCTTTTACTATGTAAAATGCCTATGAGTGTTTTGTTTTTTTTTGTTGTTTTTTTTTAACGCTATACAAAAAAATATTATTTGCTTGGGGAAAAAAAACAATCAATTTTGCAAGGAGAGTTTTGGAGTACATTTTACATTTATTAAAAAAAAAAAAAGTTACTTCAGGGCTGCGGAACAAACTTTCAGGTCGGGAGCCATACTACTCATACTGTGTACCAGTAAATCATTGTGTCTTCAAAAGGAGACCAAAAACGATTCCTCTTGGGGGTCCGAAGCTTCCGCCTGACACCAGCAATATACTACTTACACACACCAGGAGTGGCAGGTCTCAGGTGCTCGAGTGACCATTTCCCAATCTGATGGTAATGAGTTTGTTGATTGTTTTTAGTTGTCATACATTTGCATATTATTAATGATGAATTGATTATGCTTGCAATAAAGAACGCTTATGCCTGCAATGATATATTGATTATGCTTGCAATGAAGAACTCTTATGCTTTTAATAATGATATCATGCTTTTAATAAAGATATGCTCACATTTATAATAAAGAATGCTTTGTACACTGTGTGACAGTTGAGGGACGCAACCACCTTCCCGAGAAAGTGGTTGGAAAGAGATAAGTATTAAGACTAAACAAGAGAGCAAGGTCGGACGTGGATGGAGCTGCCAACCCCAGCCGCAACTTGGTGTTTTTGTAATGATTGCACACATGTACGTAATTTTCACTCACATATACACACACATAGTCAAACAAGTTCAGTGTGTCTTCAACAGCCCTCACCCTTTAGGTTGGACACATCCATGTATTAGATTCCCAATGAGAAATAAATGAGAGGGCTAGCGGGGAGATCCTGGGGTGACGTGTAGAGAACTGAAACCTAACGCTTCTCCTCGTTGCCCCCTCGAGTGATTGGTACCAGAATCAAATGTCTCCTCTCCTCATTGAGTCTTTATTATGAATGTCTAATTGCGAACGCTGACAGTTCCTGAACCCTTTAGTATTTTCATAAAAAAGTCAAATTTACTCCCAAACTCTCCTTGTAAGTTTTACTTTGAATTTCGAAGTGTAGTTTTGTTGTTGTTTTTTCAAGTAAATATTACTCCACATTTTTGACAGTGCAAAGGAAAAGTTGGCAGCGAAAGACTCCCTTACCCATAATGCACCTCATGACCTGGAGATCTGCAAGTGGAGAGCACTGCAGATAATCAAGATGGGGTGGGACCATTGCGCACATTTTTATTGATAAACACAGTACAAAAGACTCAAGATGATTTGTAAAATTAAAATCAAAACACTTTTTGAATATGTATATGAAAATGATTTTAAGCATTATTTTCAATCATTAAAAAAAATTAATTGGAAATGAATGTACATTGCATTTCTAAGATGTTTCTGTATTATGAGCGAAATGAATAAGAAGCCTCACTTCAAAGAGTTGCTGATGAAGTAGATTTTTGCTCAAACAGAAAGAGCACATCATGCTTAAATGGCATTTGCTCAAATAATGTACACAAACATTGTCGAAGTAGCAGCAAGGTTAGTCACTCCACTGAAGCAACATCTTAAATCCTTTCTAAAACCTGTTAATCTATAATCCTGCTGGCACTTCACAGGCCAATTTAGTCTGTGTGCAAGGCCTGTCCAACAACGTAAAGATCTGGGTGGGATGCAGAACGTGGCATTCCCCTGAGGTCTGATTGGCTACTCCATGATTCTTCTTTTCTGGCTGGTTCATCATCCAGTCTGTAACAACAAGAGGAAAATATACAGTATATATTATTGCAACATATAATAAAATATTTATATGCCTGGATAGTGAGGCACAAGGACAATGTAATAGAAAGGCAACTCTTTGTTGTGCTCGAACGCTACATGCGTGTAGTAACAGCGTTAACGCAATATCACCACACATCAAAATATTCATAAAAACAGTCAAGGGTTTTTATTATACCGTAGACATTTGTTTACTTACTCAACTAATTTTATCCATCCATTTATCCTGAACAGGGTCGCGGGGAGTTGCTGGAGCCTGTACCAGCTGACTTCAGGCGGAAGGCAGACTACGGTACACTCTGAACTGGTCGCCAGTCAGTCGCAGGGGACATGTAGAGATAATTGACCACTCACAACCACATCCATACCATCACTGAGTGGGAATCGATCCCACGCTGCCCACACAGAAGTCCAGCGAGTGCACCACAACACCATCAGCGACTGTCTTTATTTTATATCACACTATAATATCTATAATTACAACACAGAGCTCACTATTGGAAGTACAGAATTCCCCTCTGTAGAAATTCAAGCTTTGCAAGTGTTGCGAGCAGCTCCAGGATTACCTTTTTATGTGAAATAAAGCCAGATTTTTGAGTACTTCTGCCTTCATGTCCAAACTGAAAAAGTTCATACTAAATATATGCTTCCTGTGTGTGACAACATCACTCATTTGCAATGTAAGAGGAATGAATAAGTGCAATCAATAGGTAAGTAAACAACCAATTTTCAATTCTCAACCCTAATCATCAGTTAATCAAATTCCACATACAGACAAACTCGCACTCACACAAACATTCACATCTATGGACAATTTAGAGTCTTAAATTAACCTACCTATGAGATTTGAACTGTAAACCTTTCAATTGTAAGGCCAACACGCTAACCATTGAACTGCCAGATTTGGTATGTGAAACATACAAATGATTCAAACAAAAATCCTGCGACTGGCTGGCAACCAAGTTAGGGTCTTCCCCGACTACTGCCCAAAGATGGCTGGGATAGGCTCCAGCACGCTCGTGACCTTCATGAAGGTAAGCAGCTCGGATAATGGATGCATGGATAAAAAATAAATAAATAAATCTCACCCCTGTGTGCACATTGCAGGCTCACTTCCGCAGGTCTCAGCCACTGAGAGGACTGGGGATTGAGGTGGAAAATTCAAGCTTGGTCTTCTTTCTGAAAGACTTCGGCGAATAAAAAGTTGCGGTCCTCGGACTGACGCAGACGACCTGCCACGTTTGCCGCAGATATTTGAGAGAAGAGGGCCTCCAACAGCGGTCCAGGCTTCAGACAGTTGAGAGGATATAAAGGGCTGGGCCTCGAACAGGGATGCAGAAATTGGGCAGAAAACAGAACGTGCATTACTTGTCAACCGAGCAGATTCCTCCGTGCTGTTCTCTCTTGACCACCGTTGCACTTTTGGGGAAGCGGGTGGAGACGGTGCTTTCAAAGGGTATGAAGAGTTGAAAATGTTATGCCGCAAAACTGGTGGACTGGGGAGGCTTCGTTGACCTTCTGGGGGAGTAGTGAGGTTCCTGTTAACTGGGGGAGTGGCTGAAGATGGCGGTGTTGGTGACTTTTTAAAATTGTGGGGACTTGGAAGTCTTCTATGAGAAGACTTTGAAGTAGTCGGTGTAGATGGCAAAATTCGCCCCTTAGACAGCAGTGAAGTGGCAAGTGGATGACTACAGCTTTCAGATGAGGGAGGCACTTGAGGGACTGTAGTGTTTACTCCAGCCATTAAGAGGTTGTCAATCTCCTGAAGAGTTGTTGAGTCCTCTTGACTGGCAGATTGGCATGCAGCTTCATAATTTGTTGAAGATTTCTCTGAATGTGTATCTGAAGAGTGTTTTAAGTACCTGTTTCTTCTGGCTTGCTGCAACAGAGAGGATTTTTTTTCTTTTCCATTGTCAATGTCTGTTTTAACATCTGGTTGACTGACATTTGCCTGGGTCACTGTGACTTGATTATCAAAGTCACCAGGAAAAATTCCCTTAGAACAATTAGGCACACCTCCTTTGCTAGGTAACACTGGTCCAGATTTAACTGATGCTCGTAGTCGCTGGGACAGACTAGCCCTTTTTACCATTGGCGATTTCACCGATTTTATCGCCACTTCAGCTCCTCCACTGCCTGAAACAATGCTTTCAAATGAATTGTCCATTAAAACTTCTAATGGGGGTGGAGGTAGACTATCCAGGTCTAAAGGATCAGTCTTTTCAGATGAAGTACTCTGGGATCTACAGCTCGTCTTCCCAGTGCTAAGGAAAGCTGTGACATTTCCTAAACCTGGTAACACTGGAACACCACACTTCCGTACCCCCCTAAGTGGCCCCAGAACTTTAGGGCTGTCCATCTCTTCTATCCCTTGACTGAAGGTATCTATGAGTTTTTTGACCGAATTCCTGCCTCTACACAGGCCTGAAGATGGTCTTGGTGACAAAGGGGGGCTGGGAGGTGGTGTTGCTTTAACAAGGCCTTTCTGTGTGTCCTTATCTTTTTGCTTGTCATCTTCCTCCGTATTAGTGGTTGATCCAAAGGTTTTGGTAATGCACTTCATCGGGGCTACCCTTTCGCGTAGATTGCCATCGTTCTCCAAAGGTGAGCATCTTGGGTTCATTTTTGGAGAAGCAGCTTGTGAAATTCTCTGGTCTTGTGTAGATGATAGCGTCTTTGTGTTTCCCTTTGTGATTTCCTTGCTTTTGTTTATTTTCTGCAATTTCTGGCTTATTTTTTTCTGAGACCTTTCCAGTTCAGGCAAAGGAGGGTCTTCCCCTTTGCTGCGCAAGAATTCTGCAGAACGGGATCGCCTCTCTTTCGCCAGGGGTGTTGTTTTCACCCCACTTCTTCGAGCAGTTGTTTGAGATCTCTTTAGAGACGGTCCCTTTTCATCAGTCCATTGGCCTCTACCCGTTTTTGGACTACCTGCTACTTTTGGTTTGGCACCAGCACTTGGTGGGTGAACAAACTGCATTTTGCCACCTATAGCATTTTTCATTTTGATCGTCATTTCTACATTTTTCGCATTTTCTATGCGCTTGGAGGGTAAACGCCGTGGCTTCTGTTGCTCACAATTGACAAGTGAAGAATTTGATTGTTTTCTCATCCCGAGTTGCCCATTTCCAGTTTCTCCATCCATCTTATAATTCTCATCATCATCTTCCTCGCCATCATCCAAAGAGACTGATCCCAGGAATGAGTCCCCCTGCACATTGGCCATCATTGTGCACATAGAAGCTAATGAGTTCAACGAAGTGAGGGAAACACTTGGACTTATTTGATTTGCAAGCTTTTTCACCGACCCTCCTGTCACAGAGGTAGATTCCATCGGGCTGAAGGGAGCGCTTCTATTCGTGCTTCCAGATTCACAACTCACACGCCTACGGTGCTTTTCCGATCCGGCGAGAGATTCACTCTCAGCCCCAATACCACTATCCTCACTAAAGAGTGCAGAGTCCTCAGGCCCAAGTTTGCGAAGAGATGCCAATTCAATGCGAGATGTGAGTCGCATTATCCTTGTCTCAACTACACGCTTGACTCTCAGCTTCTCCTCTAAAAGTTCTGACACTGAAGCAAAGTATTCCACCGCCTCTTCCAGGGCAGAGTCCCCAATTCCTCCAACTGTCTGACTCACATTCTGCATTCTCTGTGTGGTGTATTGAAGCAGCTGCTGCAACAAATCAGGTGGGTGTTCAATAGCTGTGCCAGATTTGAAAGGTGCAGCAAATGAGAGTTTTTTCAATTGACTTGGCCAAGCAAGATGTTCTCCGTTCTCTTTGAGCATTTTTTCTCCTTCCTCAACAATTTCTTCCAGGGCTTGAATGATTTCTTCAAAACGCAAAGCCATGAATGAAACCATTGGCTGCAGAAATGTTTGAGTTTGAGTTGCTTGTTCCAGCAAACCAAGTACAACGTCATATTTGTTTATGCTGGGATTTAAAAAAGCATAAGCAGCTTGTTGAGCTTTTACCAGAGGCTCGGGGAAATCAATTTTCGGCACTTCCTTTTCTTTATTTTTCAGCACTTTCACACCTCTGGAACTTCTTCTTGTTTTTTTCCCCAACTTTCTGTCCGGGTCTTCCTGCTTGACCCTAGTTTTGTCTTTTTTCTGCATCACTGTGCTGTTCTCCATTCTTTGACTCTTCAATTTGTCCTTGTCAAGTACCTCTGGGGCAGGCACAGTTGCATATTTATCTTCTTGGGGTGGCATATTTACATCCTTATGAAATACCTGTTTATGTCCACTTGTCTTTTTGTCTTTAGTGTCGCCATCAGTAGCTCCAGTACACTTATGATGATCTCCATTTTTATAATGTGCTTCTCTCGGCTGGTCTTCGGGTGCAGAGGGCAACATTCTTCCCCGCCTCAAAGAGCCCAGAGCCACCAAATTGTTTCCTTTGGATGGTGAGCATCCCATTCTGGATATTGATAATGATCAGCTTACTCATACATCATCTTGATGACATCACAAGAGTACACCAAGTGGGGAATGATGCAAAGAATATCCAAGGTCTTCAGCCTTCCACTGTATCTGTTTCCTTCAGATGGCACAGACATGGTTAAATCCAATGAATGTCCATTTTGACATAAATCCATTTTGACATATCCTTTCCAGGAGTCATAGATGGGAAAAATAAATCCACAGCTCGCTGGTATGTTTGGAGAAATGTCTTGTTGTATGCTCTTGTACACATCTCTGTGTGTCTGACAAAGGACAAGGAGCTGAAAGGATTAGTGAGGCTTGCAGTGAACCTCGCGGCAAGTACATATGTCACGTTAAAGCATATAAATCTCACCTACTTGTAAGCACATAAGCTCATTTGGGTAATGAGTGTTGGCCTCAGCTAGCTTTGTATAGGCCGCACAAAAATATCTTTCAGATTGAAGCATTTGCACAGTGAAATCAACAAAATCAAGGGAATAATGTTAAATAACAAATATTGGCCAATCATGTAAAGTACACACAAGGAACTGCTTTTTGCTGCAGTGTCACTCATGAGACACAGTTGTGCATGCAGTAGAGTCGACACTTAAACACATCTACAAGAAACAAATAACACAGAAAACTGTAAATGAAGAGTTGAGATGCCATCATTATTTTTGAAATAATGTGAAATGTTGAAAAGTGATCATGCTGGTCAGATGTTTAAGCAGGTGTTAAAGAGTAAGTCATGTACTTCTGATGTGCAGGGCTCTACAGCGCCAGCGAGAAGGAAGGAAGTGTAGGCGGTCGTGACTGAGAGGCTGTCAATCTTACAGGATTTTCCCTGATGCCCTGCGATTGGCTGGTGACAAGTTCCGGTATATACGCTACCTCTTGCCCAAAGTCAGCTGGGATAGGCTGCAGCACACCAGGGATAGGAAATGGATGAATGGATTTTCCCTGAGTACTTATTGGTTCTCTCTTTGCATTGGGTAAATATTTTATTGTAGTCATGGGGGCTCCATGGAAAACACGTTTTAATTATTATTTATCTTTGACATTTATCATCATTATTATAAGAAACATTGGTTTGGTAGGGGGAGGCACGTTGGTGGACTGACAGGCTTTTCTGTGTGGACTACACATACAAGTACAGTCCAGTAGCTGATTTAACAATTCTTAAATTTCATCTAAGGGTAAAAATAACTGTGAATGCTTGTTTGTCTGTATGTGCCCTGCAATCATCTGGCGATCAGCTCAAGGGGTACCCTGACTCTCACCCAGTGTCAGCTGGGATCCTATTTAGGATAGGCGGTAAAGAGAAAGCTCCCTGAGATGGCGTTTCCTCACTTTCATTCTCTGTGCCCATCCAGACATCATGAAGTCATTGTTTTTAATGCACTTGCATATGTGCGTGAGTGTGTGTGTGTGTGTGTGTGTGTGTGTGTGTGTGTGTGTGTGTGTGTGTGTGTGGCAGGATGAGCCTGATCTTTACAATGGAAAGCATTTTGAGTTGCATTTTATTGTGTTAGTGTGTTTTATAAATAAAGTGTGATTGACTGATTGATTGATTGATTGATTGATTGATTGATTGATTCATTCATTCATAGAGGGGTGTCAAACTCAATGTAGTTCAGGGTCACAGTGCACAATTTCATGTCAAGTGGGACGGATCATTAAAACCATTGCATTATTAACGTAAATAAAATTAGCCGTTTTCTCTTTGTGCATAGAAATACAATTATTTTCGGAAAATGTAATATATTGTCAAATATTTATATAATTTTAATGATGCAGTGTGCCATTTTGACTCCATTTGCCGATGCTCGTAGGGGTTCGCAATTGTTTTGCTTTGCTCCGCAGAAGGCAGTTATGTGGGCAGCAACCATATTACGTCATCATCTCAGAATGCATTGCGCAGCGAAAACATGGCAGCGTACCGTACTGTATATGCAAATAAATATACGACAAAAGGTGTTAATTTTGACATTATTTTCGAAATATTTATATTAAAGTCATGTCACTTACAACCAAATAAATCATGTCAAGCAAACATGTCAATACTTTTAACATGTTTTTGACTTGCAAAAAATGCGACAAATACAGTACGCAGCAATTTTACCGTAAACCTTCTAAAAATGTTTACATTCGCCAAGCCGACTTCCATAATGGTGGATAATGACGTTTGATGACGCGTTTCCCGAGCCCAATAGACGACTACCAACAATGTTTTCACATTCATTTCGAAATAAAATGTTACTTACCTTTTCAAATAAATCCATGCCAGTCGAAGGCTGAAGTTGTGAAGAAGTCAAAACGAACCAGCGATAAGAACGAACTTAAGGTGGGGACAAGAAACAACAAGCTGTTTCTCTGATAGGATTGTATACACTGTACTTACATACTCTGCAGTATTATAATGACGATCATTAATTAAATCACTTTGAGAGGACAGGCATGAAAAAATGAAGTGGACTCTATTAAATTAATATTTGTACATATCCCCGGTGCCCTTGTTTCACTGTGTAATTTATTTTGTTAACAATATTAATTTTTGGTAATTGTGTACCAGTCTTAGATCACGAGTCTTACCTTGGTTGCTTTACTGTTTTGTGTGTGTGTTTTTTTTTTGTTTGTACATTGTATTAACCAATACAATATTCATATTACAAACGGTCAGAATTCTTTTCTTTCCTTATTTATCTATTTACTTGAATCCAGCTGCAAAGCAAGCAACGCGCGCATCCTGGCCCATTTTGCGTGGTGCATGGCGCAGAAACCGCCGATGTCACTGCAGTAATTTCCAATTGTATGAAGACAGTGTTGGAAGAAGTGCTGGCTATCAAGATTTGCTCAACAAACAGTCTGTCTTTGCACTCTCCTAACAGAGGTTCTATTCATTAATATAGTGTATATTCTGTCTCAAACTGACTAGTGCGAAAGGGAAACCTACACCTTTAATTTTTGGTTCGCTTCAAGCTAACATTAGCTGCTAAAATCAAATTAAGTCGCAAGTAGTGTATTTCGTTTGGTGAGGAAATTGATTCAACCTGCCGCTTGTAATGAGAGTATCCACGGTGTAAATTCTACCAAAAACATACCGGTAATCCATTGATGCTATCTGATACATAGCTGAGACGTGCTTGTTCAGTTTATGAAGGACACATTTTGGTAAGTAGGTAACCTAGCATGTCAAATACGTTAATTTAATTACAGTGAGACGTGATTGAAAGTAACCGTTGACTCTAATTTTGGATAGACTGCTTGTTTTCAATTAATCTTTGTGTAATCCGATGGGATAGTTTTTGGAAATTAGACGGAACCAAGGACAAATTTAATATGTGATGTATGACGCCTTCTTTTAAATTTTTTCCACTGTCCTTTCACTCTCTTGTGATAAATTTTTATTATTATTTTATTTTGTTTCATATTTACAGCAGTCAGTAATATAGTAATGTTAGTCTTACAAATATGGAAGCTGTCCTTTTATGGCCACATCACATTGCTACTGTGCTGTAAAGTTGCATTGTTCATAAATGTTTTATATGTAGCTACGGTTCGGTTCTATATTGTTCTTGAAATAAAGGTGAAAAAGAACAGGTCACAGGGGAATCCAACTTTATTCCTTCATCACCTGTTTTGTAAAACAGAAATTTATTTTACAAAATCAAAACAACCTGACCAAGAAGACCATGGCCATTAGTATTGCTGTAAATGTCATATCACCGGTTCAAGTTTAAAGAATTGCTTGAAAATGGTATTGAATGTTGAATGTTGTGAAAGACTTGAGAAAGACACAGAGAAAAAAAAATTCTCTGTGTAAAAACTATTTTGTCTTGCGAGTGAATCACATTTGAATGTCCTTATCACAACAGACTGGCTTTCATCTTGAGTGACCCAGACAGACACATGATGAAACGGAGAGCCCAGTGGTGCCGAATCACCACCTCCTGTGGAATAACCTCCAGAGAGACCCCCCTCCGGGCCCGGAACAACCATGAAGAACAGTGTCCACCAAAGAAGAGCCACTGCATGAGTGGAATGTATTGTCTTGGGAGGACTCTGTTACCAACCATTGTTGTGCAGCAAGAGGAAATGACATCATACTTAAAACTTTTTGGTGAGGAACATTCACATTGCTCTTCATTTCATGCTCAAATGAATCATGATGAACTTCATTTCAGACGATGATCTAATCCATGACTTTTTATTGATGGACTGTTGCTGTAAAATGACCGACAAGGTATAAGCATCTACTTTTCTGAAGAAAATAGTGATCTTAAAGGCCCAACTCATGGCTTTTGAAATCTATTTTTCAGTATCTTCTGGCCATGGTTTTTGTCTACTTCAAAAGAACCAGTTTGACCATTACAGAATACACCAAGATGAACTTTTTCATTGCACTGTAAGTTCACAGAAAGTTACCAGGCTCCAGACACTAAATTGGGTACAACTGCACAATCAAAAGTGATTTTGTCTGTGAACATTTCTGTAGGAACCCTGCACTTGGTCCTTTTATCTTTAATGCTCCCAATATTGTACTAACAGTCACTACTAGAAGACCACATTTTCTCAGTTGATCTATTTAATGAACGCCAGGAAGATCGAGGCACAGCTATGGAGCCTTATACTTAAAATGTGGAAGAGGGTTTAAACTGTCCAAAATAGTCCCTCTTCTTTATAATGGCTGAGCCACACCCACGCAGGGGGGCAGCTCTACTGAGCCCATTTGACGATGTGATGGTCTTAACTACTTCTAGCTAGATAGCTGTGTCAGAGTGCAGACAGACAGGAAGATGCTGAGCTGGAAGAAATATCACAACAACGGCCTAGCTCACGCCACCTATCTCGTTATTTGTGTCAAAGAAATCTAATCTAACATCGGTGTGCATCATCCATCCATCCATTTTCTGATCCGCTTATCCTCACAAGGGTAGCGAGGGGTGCTGCAGGCAATCCCAGCTGTCCTCGGGCAATAGGTGGGGGACACCCTGAAATGGTTGCCAGCCAATCGCAGAGCACACAGAGACGAACATCTGGCAGCGCTCACACTCACACCGAGGGACAATTTAGAGTGTTCCATTAACCTGCCATGCATGTTTTTGGAATGTGGGAGGAAATCGGAGTACGAAAACCCACACAGGTACGGGGAGAACATGCAAACTCCACACAGGAAGGCTGCAGCCTAAATCAATCCCTGCACCTTCACACTGTGAAGCCAACATGCTAACCAGTCGACCACCGGGCCGCTGGTGTGCACCATACGTCTACAATATTTGAGGCAGCTCAGCGAAATTAGTGTGGGAGGTCAGGTGGGCATCTGAGACCAATAAATTCGTACACGCAGTACACACTTTGTTTTTCCCCCCGCAGACATTCAAGTTCAGGTGCTTAATTTCCCCCTTTACGCAAGTCACACTATACCCTCATGATTTTAATGTCTGAGCTGTATGCCCCAATCTTACCACAAATTACTTCTGAGCAAGCTGGAACCCCAACAATCAGCTGATATCCTGACATTGTAGGTATCTTGCCAACACCATGGAGGAAGAGGACGAGGAGCGTAAATATGAGATATTTCCTTGGGCGCTGGGTAAGACCTGGAGAAAGAAGTTTAAACATTTCCTCAAGCAGAGGGACAAGCTCTGGGTGCGCACAAAGTTCAGAGCGGCTGTCAGCAAGCGCTGCTGTGAAGAGGTAAACAAACAGAATTGACAGTTCAGACCTGCAAATGATGTTCCTGTCTGAAATTTTCCAACTGTTTTTACCGTAATTTCCGGACTATAAGCCGCGACTTTTGTCACACGCTTTCAACTCTGCGGCTTATTTCATGAAGCGGCTTATATAAAGACTTTTCTAACGGCCGCCTGTGTACCGTCTTTCTTTGTAAATATCTCATGTTACAATATGGGCACCTGCAGCTTATACACAGGTGAGGCTTATGTGTGTACAAAATATTTTTTCCTTTAAAAAGGTAGTGGTGCGGCTTATAATCAGGTGCGGTCTATAGTCCAGAAATTACGGTAATTTAGTGTCATACCATAAGCGCTGTCAACCCTCGATTCCCTTTTCTCTTGTCTCGTTGAATGAAGGTTTTTGTACTTACAGGTGATGGCAATCATGCCATCTCACTTTGTGTGGAAACGTGAGCGCTCAGAGCAACACAGTGGCACTCGCAGGCATGATGACATAAAAGACTGGTTTCCTCGCGGACCGACAGCCTCTCCAGTCCCTTGTACCCTCTGTAACCGCAAGAGCACATTCAATCAGCGGCTCCGCCGCGCTCTTAAATCCCCCGGCACTCTGGCCACTCATCTGAGTTTGGAGAATACTCCACCCAGGTCCATTGCCACTTGCAGGGAGAGCAATGAGACTCGTGACAAAATCCAGCGTTCTTTGCGCTTCCCTGAGGAACCAGGTAGGTATCCTAACCGGATCCACTCTTGTTATTTGTGTTAACATACAGCTGGCATACTATGAAAAAGGCATCTTATAATAATATCCAACTTAATGTACTGTAAATTAGCATTAGGCAGCTTCTATTAGTGGGGCAGCTAAAATGCCCATTGCTCCTTCCCTGGAACCAAAGAGCAGGTGAACTTTGTAACACGTAAAGTGGGAATTCAGAGCTGTATTAGTCGGATTTGTTATTGCACTGTATATATCAACATAAACTTATCAGTCCAGGGTGTACTCTATCCTGCCTCCCTCTCCTACTAAGTGTGCCAAAATAGGCTCCAGCTTTGCTTTGACCCGCAACAGGATTAACAGTGGTATTATTTATTTACCCTGTAAATTTTACAGGCACGTTAGGTACACCCGTACAAGCTAATGAGGTCCAATAAAAGAGTTTGTGTAGATGTCTACTTCATCACACGGAGATTCATTGCCAACATTTTGGTTACTTAGCATGGATGGATAGCGACTAAAACATCATGTGCTATTTTATGTTTTGTTCACATAGTATTTTGAAGAATGAATCCTAAACATCCTTGGTTTAATACTATTAACCTGTAACTTGAGCTACTTTGGACTTTTTTTTTTTTTATTGTGCAGTAACAACAAATCTGATAAAGAATAATTTACATCAGTCATAATAAGTGGAAGCAGTTCAGTAAGACAAGTGCAATAAAAAACTGACTTACTTGATTTACACAGCAGTTGACTCATGACACAGTTGTCCCAAAGCAAAATAAAGCAGAAAAAAACTATCAACCACCGCCAGTCTGTGATCTATATATATTTTTTCTCCTAATATAATCAATTATTAGTTGACATGTTTCTGTCCTCTCCGGTAGGCAATTCATCCTCCAACTCTTCCACGGACTGGATCAATAAATAGTCCAGTGTCTCATCACATCGGCATAGTTCTCAACTTCCTGTTTCAAACTCCCACCATGTGGGCATTTCCTACTTTGACGCAGACTTTGTTTACCAACAACACCCATAAATAGAATTCGGTGGATGAATTACTACTGGAATTGTGTTTAACATTAAAGATAACTGTTGTCTGTAAAACACCAACAAATATGATTGAAAAAGGTATTTATTCCTTACACTGTACTTGCTATTTATCAATGTTATTTATTTAAATGCTTCCAGCATTATATTTGACAACCATCAATATATACACATTAACCCTGTGTTTGGGAGAATTTAAGCCACGATTCCTCAAGTTGGTGTCACATACTTAAGATGTTGCTGTTTCGAACCGTCAATAAAGACTATCTGAAATTCTGTATTTTTGATTATGCTTGGAATTGCTCGCAGCCTTCCGCAAAACATAAAGTGGGCCAGAAGAGAGAGCTACTGGAATTGTTATTTATTTTATTTTTCCAGTTTGTTGGCATTGGGAGATGAAACAAATTCTCAAGTAACTGATGAATAATGATTAAATCAGAAGTGGGTAGGTGGGTGGATTTCACACGCATGAGATTGCAATCGACAAATGATGTGCAATTTGAGGCTGATTGAAATTACTCTTTTTCAGCTTTGGGAAATGTCTGCATTGTGAGTGCAATTCTTGTCAAGTGTACCACCAGTGTGTTTATCGTTGATTTTTCTCCTTTCTCCTGTTTCATCCTTGTTCCTTGAAAGGCACTACGTAAATAATAGCTGCAATTATTTAAATCCAGATACTTTGCAGTAACAGTAATGTAACAATAACCAAAGATGCCAAAAGTATTCAGTCAGTTTCTTTATTTTACACAATACAAACATATACAGAAACGAAAATTATCTCCCATATTTTCTTCTCCCAACAGGCTGAGCAGCTATCTCACAAACTTCCTCAGTTTCACCAGGAATGCTGGAAATATAAGATAACAAAGACGTGTTTAAAAATAAATAATAATAATGAATAACAAGCAACATTTAAATCCTGATAAAACTGTCCCACCTGAGTGGCTCAACTGTTGTGGGTGAGGTCTGGCAATGTATGGGATACTCCCAAAGGCTGGATGTTCCTCTGGAACTGAATACAGGTGGTGTCACCTAACTTGTGAATTTCATATGAGTCAAACACAGTAAAGTCACCTTGTTCTGCCTCATCTGAAGTGTCCCCCTCTTCGCTCGGGGCTTCATTGAGGGTCGGCGCTTTCTTTGAGCAATACCGGCCATCTTTAAGAAGGGCAGGACCAACAAGCCAGTCCCGGATCGGAACCTCAAAGATGCGTTCGCACAGCAAAGGGAGCGCTGAGCATCGAAGCCCTTCCAGCAGGTCGATCACTTGTGTTATACTGAGGGGGCACACGGGGGTCAGGAACAAAAAAAAAAAACATGAACAAAGTGTGACCTGTGTACAAATTCTGTTGAGGCAGATGCAGACAGCAAACGAGTCCAAATGATTAAGAAATGTCAAAAGTGAAATTTGATGACAAACAAAATCAAAATGAATGTGCGACACAATACAATTAGGCCAACAGAGAATGGGGTGCATCACGGTGGACTCGTGGTTTTCTTGAAGAAAAATACAGTACGCACTTGGCGAGGTAGACAGCACATACGGCTCCAGGCTGCAGATGTGGAATCACATTGGGCAAAACAAGCTGTGGATTGATCAGATCAAGAGCAACCTGCAACGGATGTAATCCAATCAGTAAAACACTTGCCGTGAACCAAACCTGCACCCGCAGCGTTGCTTCAAAAACACCGCTGCCACTTCTAACACTTAACACTTACCGCATCGAATGCCCGGCGGGCGAGAAGAGATGAAGCCGTACAAAGGTCAGCGTGATGGAACTCGATATTATCAGGCCACTCCACCCCTTGCCGCGCTCGCCACGAATCCCTCCAGCGCTGGTAGTTGAGCATCGCTCTTCTGAGGTGATCGTCTCTGACATCAACACTCAGCACGCTGCCCCTCGAGCCCACTGAGGAAAATTTCGAAACCTTTTATATTTTATACAAAATAACATCGGAAAAAAATACAGATATACTGCCCTTGTAAATGCATCGTAAATAAATTAAGTAAAAATTGTATCAAGATAAAAGTTTTAAAAAAAAGAGTTCTTCCAAGATTAAATTACAATGTATTGCACTAAAAAGTGAAATAGAACTCAATTGTACAGGTCCAGCGACATAAAATCATTTAGAATATTGGAGATAACTGTTAAAATATATTTCAGTGGTTAAACTCATGTGCATTCAATGAATATGAGCTTCACTTTTTGAACGGAAATAAAATGACGCTGATGATCCGGGACGTCGCCACGAAATACCACTTTTATTCTCCGTGACAAGTTTCGTAGTTTTTATTGTTGATATGGTTTTAAATAGTAAATCTTTGGGTGATTTGTGTCGTGAAACTTACTTTGGTGCAGCGAGCTAGCATCTTAGCTCCACCACAGCAGGACAGCTCAAACTTTTCTTTGGATATGTTATGTATGATAAAATAGGTCCTTCGATGAGTATGTTCCAAACAGTGAATATCGGTCACTGCTTCCTTCTTTCCACTGCGTTCAGAGGACACAACCTCTCCCTTTCAATGTTATCATAAGAAAATGACTCAGTGGTGGGTGGCATACCTGCCCGAGACAAAAACAGAGACATGGCTCCAGACCCAGAGCCTGCCTCCAGCACACAGTCTCCCTCTGTGACGTCCATCATCATCAGCATTGCACTGGCGTCCTGTGTGATAGAAGCAGATTGCACCCAACCTGTGAGCAGTCTGACCCACAACTGAATATCTGCAAATATAGTCGATATACTGTAAAAAGTCTACACACAACCCTGTTCAAATTGTAGGTTTTTGTGATATAGACATAAATCATTTTGAATATTTTACCTTTCACTTATGTCAGAGGTAAAGGAAACATTTTTACTCATCAATAAAAATACACTATTTATCCTGCTCATCTGGAAAAAAATAAGACTTGCACAATATTTATTTTAACATTTCATTTTCAGTATTTTTGTCCGATGCAAGGTGACTTCTGAGTTGTGGAGCAGCACCTTAGCGGCCTCTGTTTACCAGCTGCAATTGGTAGAATGTTGAACACATTAACCAATCACCACTGGTATCATGTAAGCAAAAAGTAACACATTCTATTTTGTATTTTTATTCATTTATTTTGTATATACCTTTGGGTAGGAGATAGCAGGGCCCCTCTTCATATACAGCACATAGTCATCCAAACTGGCACGTCGTATGAAGATGGGGATCCCTCTGCTTGTTCTCTGGAAGTGACCTGCAGGCTGCTGAACTACATCATCATGCAGGATAATCCCCCAGCTGCTCATCAAACGTGTTCCAATCTGAAGCTGGAACATCTTCTTGAACTCTACACGCCCTTTTCGATGATACTCGGCCACTAGCAACTCCCCGTAAGCAATCGTGGTCTTTTGTGGGGGAGCGGGTAACATCCATCGTGTTGCATCAAAATGGCACTTTGATGTGTCGGACTGTGCAGCCACATCAGTGCATGTGTCTGAATTACATTCTTTCAAAGATGCTCCGTTACTTGCATCTAAAACAGGATTTTGCTGTTGTTTGGACATCGTTGCCAAAGGTTCAGACGACCCGTGTTCTTCTTCCATACATGTTTCCTCTTCGTGTGGCTGGTTCTGTTCTCTCAGTTGCATCAGTTCAGGGCTCAGTGCATCCTGTGGTAGCATGGTACTTATCCTCTCCAGGGGAGACAAAGATCTCCTCCTGGACAATAGCGATTGCCGAGCAACGGTCGTGGAGTTCAGGAGTTTTGTTTGAGAGCTATCGCTGACATCATTGCTGTATTTCACACAGCCTGTTGAAAACGTTTTCATTTTCGGTCTACTGGAATTAAAATTTCCAAAAATGTATCTGTGTCTGTGATGCGCAAGGGGAGCTGTGTGAACACGTACCAGTGTGGATAAAATGAGAAGTCCATCACGGGGTATTTGTAAAGTCATTACGTCAAACTAGATTAACTTAAAAACTATGATTTAAGATGTAGATTTTGTATCACCTAAGTTACTAAATATGGTCAAATAAAGCATTTTACAATGACCATAACGACGTACCTTGCTAAAATATCAGCGATCAGAGACGAACTAGGCATTTTTGTCATCAGTATTACTCCGAAGCATACTTGTTTTAGAAGGTCGCCATGCTTGAAAACGCAATTTGTTGGCGTCATAAATGCGCGACAGTCGTTTAATCGAGTACATCCAGCAGAGGGCGGTGTTGCAATTGAGCCTGGCAAGAGCCTGTTTTGGTAATGTGAATCACTAAAAGGAGTTCACCACAGGATCAATCCGACGGGAATCCTACTGCTGTGTCCACCTTACTTGTGCCTCTTCGCTCTGAAATGCGAGACAACCCATTGGCCATGCACGGCAAACAGTGAGCGCTGCTTTCTGCTGGTCAGAAGTAGTTATTGCAACCCTCTGATCCAATACAGTACAGTACCATATTTTTTCTCATTACCCTTTAAAAATGAGCACTAAGATAAAATGACCACTCTCTGAACACGGGCTGCTCTTGAAATCAGAACAAAATAATAAATGTAGAAAAAAATATATAAACTGCTCAAAAAAGTCAAACGAAAAGTCGGAGTTACATTGTGCTGTTTAAGTGTTCCCTTTATTTTTTTTCGATCAATATATTTCTATATGAACCAATTTGGAATTTAAATGTACTGTATACCACTGGCAGAGAGCCGATCGCCAGCGGGTGGCCAGCGGAGAGATCACACACCCCGCCGCCCACCCACCTGACGGTCCGCGACAAAGCGGCGGGGATGGTGGGGGTTCACAGTCTGTCTCAATCTGTCGCTACACATTTAATTTTGGGGATTTATTTGGGGTTTCTGGAACACACCAAATATTGTTTCCACAATGTGGCTCTTCATCGCTGTAAAATTGTACAAGTACAGGTTAAAAACTCTGCTTTTTACCCATACGTATGATTAAAATATTTAAAGCTTCTTTTCCCCTAAATATTGTTCTTGCACTTTATGTTGTTTCTGAATTTTATCAAACTTTTTTATTTTACATTGCTTTTCAGTGTCTTTAATCTTCATTTGCTTTTGCACTTTGAATTACATGCAGCACATTAGCACAGTTAGCTAGTGTATGAAATGTATAAACAGTTCAAAATACCCTGCAATCTGAATCGTTATGCCAAAAAATTAATATATATCCAAATATATTTTTTTGTGCAGAAATGTTGTGAAACAGCAATAGAGTGTCGACAATCTGAGTTATTTGCTGACTGGTATTTAGGTAATCTCCTCCTCTCCAAAACCAGAGTTAAAAAAAACATCAAGTATCATTGAGAAGACAGTTGGATGATTGCACTTGTTTTTGCTTTTCCTATTCGTAAACACTCCATTAGATGCGATGATGAGCAGTTTACAGTTCACTGATAATCCCCGGTGATTTGAGCACACACACGTCTGTTCTATCCACCTTTGTTTTTGTGCTGTCAAGGTTCAATGTAATGACTTCTCGGAACTCAAGCGACTTGACATGACTGATTGATGATTCCTACATCATTTCTTCACGCTATACAAAACTTTGTTTTTTATTAATCAGAAGCTTGTGGAGGCTCTCAGTCGTACAGGAAAGTTCCATCGTAGAAAGGGTTCTGTCAGTCGTCATCTGTACCTGTGGGTAAAAAACAAAAAAAAAAACAAAAAAAAAAAAAACAATTTTAATGTTTGTTTTTTGTTTTTTACCCACAGGTACAGATGACGACTGACAGAACCCTTTCTATGATTAATCAGAAGCATAAAATGACAAGAGTGACCCATTTATAAAGAAGAAGATGAATGCTCTCCTAATATAGCCGAGCTCAATCTAAGTGTGACATTCTTTTTCATGACAGTGAAACTTATTCAGCTGACTGCATTCCTCCCCTCTATTCATGCCGCCGTACAAAGGGTCAAACAGAGGTCTTGTTTTCACTGTGCACTCAAAGCTGAATGAGACCAGCAGCCAACTCTCTCCAGGTGTTCTGTAGCTTGTGATATACACTCAATCTGATCTTCTTTCAAAATGTAAAAAACACAGGAAGTGCATTTGTGAGTATTCTGCAGCCAAAATGCAAATACTGTATACTCATTGAACAGTTGCATGACTTCTTGTCAAACTAGTCCCAGTGATATTGGTAGGAGTTTCCCACTTTCAGAACACTGCTTGTTTTTACAGTATACTGTAGCTCAAAGGTGGTTAAGTCACACGGCCTTGTTGAGAACATGTTGAGTCATCTGCTAATAAAGGCGATGAATACTATTACTTGTTCACTAGAAGTACTTCTGAAATGATACAGTGATGAATAAATTACATCTTATGCAGAGATTTATTAGCATGCTGTATGTTCTAGAACTGTTTAACTGAACTTCTCCTCCGAGAACAGGATGGCGTTGATGTATCATTTATTATGAGGGAGCTTTCTTTTTGTTCGATTTCATTTTTCCCATAGCAAAGAACACATAAATCATAAGCTTCATTGCCATTGCAAACTCATTCATCCATTTGTTATAATGCTTCTCTTTTGGGTCTGTTACTGTTCCTGAATGGTACGGAAGAGAATCGGACTCTCCAAACATGGACCCAGATGGAATTGAACAAAAATGATTTACTTATCCCAAAAAAATGCTCCGTAGTTTTATGATCTTGTGACGTTAATCTTTTAACCTACAGTGAGTGACTGTGGAGAGGAAAAGGCTTAACCCTTGAATGCCTGACCCATCAAGGAATAGCCATAAAAATCTGATTTTTGGGAACTGAGATGTTCATTAACCCTTCTAACAAAATCCACAAAAATATTTTTTGTCATATTCCATTTATAAGCATTATGTAGATTACATCTGAAAAAGAAAATTTGGGGAAAATCATATTTTAAACCTGCAGTATCAAATTTGATACAGATGATTCAATGTAATAAAAAGAATGAGTTACATAATGAAAATGCATTTATCAAATATGATACAAATGGCATTTTAATGTCCATAAAATCAAAAACATTGGGACAATCGTTCTAATATTTTCATCTGTTAAAGTGGGCATGAGTAGAGATGTGCACATGAATTTTGGTGACGACTGATCAGAAATGAAGCAACGTTTAACTTTTTAACATGAAGCATTTTAGTCTATCTAGAAAGCGCACCATTTTGTTACATAGCCACATGATAATCGATACATGCACTCCAGGTAGCGATCTAAAAATTGAAATGACTGTCTTTGGTGGTTTGCATATATGATATGCAAATGTGTCACGGCACTTCGTTCTCGAGCCTCATTAGAAATCCCCACTCTTCCCCAGCGATGAAAGCCGGCGTTATTTTAAGTGACAGTTTGCTGGAAATCCCCCACCTAGTGGCTTAAGCTCCGCCCTTGGCGTCCAGCAACACACGCACACAGTGGACGCGAACAAACCGAGCGCACATCCAGGATAACAACAAGCAAGCAGGCGCAACCATGGCCCTCCACAGGACCACTGTAACCAACCAAATGGATTACAACCGGGAGTCCAAAGAAGGGAAACCGTCGACAGACGAGCGTCTGGATAGTGGCGTCGACTCGCTCAAAGAGGAGGACTACCAGGCAGTAGCAGAAGAGATATGGCGCCTGCAGCTCGAGTGTCAGCCGTCGCAAAACAAGCAACTTTCAGCTTGTGCAGCCGCCGAGATACAAGAATGGAAAACACAAATCACCGAGGACGGAGACACGTAAGTTGCACCACAAATGGCGCTCGCGGCGTGCACAGTCCACTCGCTTGAACAAGATTAGCTCGCCAAGTCGTTTGACCAGGCCTGTCTGCGAGGTAATTCGATCTCCTTCCTGCAGGGAACGTTTTCCGTTTTCTTCCGAACTTGCCATCAAAATGTATGTCAGAATTCAGCCAGAGCCCATTTCCCTCCTCCTCTCCCATAAAGTAAGGTGATGCTGCTTGGGCACCACAATGGAAGTTTTTCGGTTTCTAATCACCGGTTTGGCTGCGGCCTGAAACAGCGGGGTTTCATGTCAACAAAAGGCTATTATCAGCAGGAATCTACTATGGCCGCGGGTCAGAGTTGGAAAGTCCCCTGCGCGCCGCCGAACAATCCCAACCGGCACGCGCTCCCTCCAGTCCAAACGAGAAGTGACCGCGAGTGGTCGAAAAGAACACGAAGTCGCACAGTTTGAAAAAGCACGGGGGCCGGTTTTAGTACAAAGCTGTAGGTGCTATGGAGAGTTCTCATCGCAGCATTTAGTGAACGCTTCACCAAGGACGGTGGTGAATAACATCACGTTTAAGTGCGGGCCAGGAGGCTTCATAAATTATGTACCGTACCGTAAGAATTAGAAAAATGTTTACACGATAGTGTCGCATTATATTGTAAAATTACACGAATGATTAATAATCTAATATTCCAGTGTTACCCTACTTTTACTGAGCCATGGCACATCATTTAAATTATAAAAAAATCATTTGGCCCACCACCACGCAGCAAAAGAAACCCTCATGCCTACTATAAGCCCATTTAATTGTTCTGCATGTGACTACATGTCGTTGGCAAAGATAACTTACGGTAAGTGATCCCTCGCTAAATTTGGGGAAAATCATATTTTAAACCTGCAGTATCAAATTTGATACAGATGATTCAATGTAATAAAAAGAATGAGTTACATAATGAAAATGCATTTATCAAATATGATACAAATGGCATTTTAATGTCCATAAAATCAAAAACATTGGGACAATCGTTCTAATATTTTCATCTGTTAAAGTGGGCATGAGTAGAGATGTGCACATGAATTTTGGTGACGACTGATCAGAAATGAAGCAACGTTTAACTTTTTAACATGAAGCATTTTAGTCTATCTAGAAAGCGCACCATTTTGTTACATAGCCACATGATAATCGATACATGCACTCCAGGTAGCGATCTAAAAATTGAAATGACTGTCTTTGGTGGTTTGCATATATGATATGCAAATGTGTCACGGCACTTCGTTCTCGAGCCTCATTAGAAATCCCCACTCTTCCCCAGCGATGAAAGCCGGCGTTATTTTAAGTGACAGTTTGCTGGAAATCCCCCACCTAGTGGCTTAAGCTCCGCCCTTGGCGTCCAGCAACACACGCACACAGTGGACGCGAACAAACCGAGCGCACATCCAGGATAACAACAAGCAAGCAGGCGCAACCATGGCCCTCCACAGGACCACTGTAACCAACCAAATGGATTACAACCGGGAGTCCAAAGAAGGGAAACCGTCGACAGACGAGCGTCTGGATAGTGGCGTCGACTCGCTCAAAGAGGAGGACTACCAGGCAGTAGCAGAAGAGATATGGCGCCTGCAGCTCGAGTGTCAGCCGTCGCAAAACAAGCAACTTTCAGCTTGTGCAGCCGCCGAGATACAAGAATGGAAAACACAAATCACCGAGGACGGAGACACGTAAGTTGCACCACAAATGGCGCTAGCGGCGTGCACAGTCCACTCGCTTGAACAAGATTAGCTCGCCAAGTCGTTTGACCAGGCCTGTCTGCGAGGTAATTCGATCTCCTTCCTGCAGGGAACGTTTTCCGTTTTCTTCCGAACTTGCCATCAAAATGTATGTCAGAATTCAGCCAGAGCCCATTTTCCCTCCTCCTCTCCCATAAAGTAAGGTGATGCTGCTTGGGCACCACAATGGAAGTTTTTCGGTTTCTAATCGCCGGTTTGGCTGCGGCCTGAAACAGCGGGGTTTCATGTCAACAAAAGGCTATTATCAGCAGGAATCTACTATGGCCGCGGGTCAGAGTTGGAAAGTCCCCTGCGCGCCGCCGAACAATCCCAACCGGCACGCGCTCCCTCCAGTCCAAACGAGAAGTGACCGCGAGTGGTCGAAAAGAACACGAAGTCGCACAGTTTGAAAAAGCACGGTGGCCGGTTTTAGTACAAAGCTGTAGGTGCCATGGAGAGTTCTCATCGCAGCATTTAGTGAACGCTTCACCAAGGACGGTGGTGAATAACATCACGTTTAAGTGCGGGCCAGGAGGCTTCATAAATTATGTACCGTACCGTAAGAATTAGAAAAATGTTTACACGATAGTGTCGCATTATATTGTAAAATTACACGAATGATTAATAATCTAATATTCCAGTGTTACCCTACTTTTACTGAGCCATGGCACATCATTTAAATTATAAAAAATCATTTGGCCCACCACCAAGCAGCAAAAGAAACCCTCATGCCTACTATAAGCCCATTTAATTGTTCTGCATGTGACTACATGTCGTTGGCAAAGATAACTTACGGTATCCCTTGCTACTTATCGAGGTTTCAGTACATCGTGGATTTTTCAAAGATATTCATTAAAAAAATATATATATATTGAAAATGCCGCAAAAGATCCGTGAGAGGCAGTGAAAGTCAGCAAAACAACAGTGAGTCACATAGAGCAACATTTAGTCCTACATGCATGTATAACATTAAATTTGGCCTTATAAATATTATATACACTCATACACATGTACATATACCTGTACAAGGGGGGGTAACTACTTCGCGGATTTTCCTCTTTCGCAAGGGGGTTCTGGTCCCCATTAACCGTGATTAGCAAGGGATCACTGTAATAATTTTCGGACCAATCAAGTGAACTTGTATACTACCTGATCATGACAAAGTGAGCTGTTAAGAGTCACTGCTTTTAGATGTGATATCAGCCACAAAATATTTGACAAATCTGCTCAAAGATGGTAACATGTAAGGCTGTTGAACAGAAGCAAAAGGAAAACTACAGTCGTTACCTTTCTACCCCCTGCGGGAAACAAGTCATGTACTTTGTATCTAAAACATGTGGTTACACAAGCTCTATTCTTCCCATTGTCATCATCTGGAAACACATCAAATAGACGTTGACGGGTTAATTGACTGCACTGAATTGCACTTTCAAAGAATTGTACCTCTATGGCATCTATGATATGTTTTAATGAGACCAGCGCCTACATTATAGCAATGGAGTCCAAATTGTCCTGGTATAGTCACTAATTTAACTTCCTCAAACGTAAAAAAAAACCCTTGGTCGACAAATTTATTGATTGTCAAGTTGATTACAGCATCCATTCACCATGATGACCAATAACTTATCATTTTATTTTATTTCTTTCTTTTTTTTCATGGAAATGTTTTGTTTTTAAGAGTTTTGGCTGTGCATATTGTAACAGCTTCTCATTGTCTGTCTCCAGGCTACTGCACTTGGCTATTATTCACGAGGCAACGGACTACATCAAAATGATGATCGAGCTCTCCAAGAACACAGACTTCCTCGACGTCCAAAATGACCAGAGACAGGTGTGTGAGCTGAAGCTTGTTTCGCTCTTGACGCCCCCCTCCACAGAGCCATCGAGTAGATGTTCATTTCTCTCTCTCTCTCTCTCTCTCTCTCTCTGCCTCTTTGTGTCCCACTTTAGACGGCTCTTCATTTAGCAGTCATAACAAACCAATCAGATGTGTGCCAGCGCCTTCTGGCCGCTGGCTGCGACCCCACGCTGGTGGACGACAGCGGGGACATGCCCGTCCACATCGCATGTCGCCATGGCAACCTGCTGTGCTTCAGCGTCCTCACACAGTTTTGTCGTCCGGAGCATCTCCAAACAATGACGTCGGCATGCAATTACCAAGGTAAGCTTTTAACAAAGCAGCATTTTTGTTGTTGTTGTTTTTAGCGGGGTTATAATAGTTGTTTGATTTTTCTTTATAGTTAATTTTTATTTCATTTTGACTTTTATTTCATTAGAAGATGGATGGATTGTTTTAATTAACTTTGGGTTTCTTTGGTTCATCTTTTTTTTTTCCTTGAAAATGCCTCATTAGAGTTTATTTTTTATTAACTTTAGTTTTTAGAAATGGTAGATGGTAATATATGCTATATTTGTCGAGTGCAAGGTTTATTGAAAAAAATCTCAAAGTATTGTACAATAAAGTACAATTCTCAAACAACTGTTGAACCTTCCTTCCTCTGTACAGCAACACTAAAATAAATATATTTAAAATGAACCCAAAGGCGTCTGCATGATATTAATTGACAGAAGCAAAAATAAAGGTCATTTTCCAGATGATTAGTGTGTTACTAGAAACGTAAGATGTATTTTGAGTCAGTTTTCATTTTTGAAAGGCATTTTTGTTTGATTCTGTTTACCAAAAAAATTCTTTCAATTTTAGTTCTATTTATTTTATTCATTTTATTTTACTGCAATAACCTTGGTTTTTAGTGTGCTGGTGAATCGAGATTGGCCATTTGTGTAGATTTACTTCATCATCTGCATACAGTGTGGTCCCTTGATTTACAAGTTCCCCAATTACGAAGTTGTAAAGCATCACTTGATCGAACGGTACTAATGAAACCTCTACACTAAGGCAATGTCACAGTCATAACAAACCAATCAGATGTGTGCCAGCGCCTTCTGGCCGCTGGCTGCGACCCCACGCTGGTGGACGACAGCGGGGACATGCCCGTCCACATCGCATGTCGCCATGGCAACCTGCTGTGCTTCAGCGTCCTCACACAGTTTTGTCGTCCGGAGCATCTCCAAACAATGACGTCGGCATGCAATTACCAAGGTAAGCTTTTAACAAAGCAGCATTTTTGTTGTTGTTGTTTTTAGCGGGGTTATAATAGTTGTTTGATTTTTCTTTATAGTTAATTTTTAGTTCATTTTGACTTTTAATTTCATTAGAAGATGGATGGATTGCTTTAATTAACTTTGGGTTTTTTTGGTTCATCTTTTTTTTTCCTTGAAAATGCCTCATTAGAGTTTATTTTTTATTAACTTTAGTTTTTAGAAATGGTAGATGGTAATATATGGTATATTTGTCGAGTGCAAGGTTTTTTTAAAAAAATCTCAAAGTATTGTATAATAAAGTACAATTCTCAAACTACTGTTGAACCTTCCTTCCTCTGTACAACAACACTAAAATAAATATATTTAAAATGAACCCAAAGGCTTCTGCATGATATTGACAGAAACAAAAATAAAGGACATTTTCCCGATGATTAGTGTGTTACTAGAAATGTAAGATGTAGTTTCAGTTAGTTTTCATTTTTGAAATGCATTTTTGTTCTGCTTACAAAAAGTTTCAATTTTAGTTCTATTTATATTATTCATTTTATTTTACTGCAATAACATTGGTGTTTAGTGTGATGGAGAATCGAGATCGGCCATTTGTGTAGCTTTGCTTCATCATCTCCATACAGTGTGGTTCCTTGATTTACAAGTTCTGATTTACGAAGTTGTAAAGCATCACTTGATCGAACAGTGCTAATGAAAGCTCTACACTAAGGCAATGTCACTCTCAAACATTTAGTAAACTGAATGTAAGTTGATTTGATGTTGCTCTGATGTTTTCACATATCTTCTAAACAAGCTTCAGGCAACTTAGACTTGTGTCGTTTGCACGCACACTAAAATAAATATATTTAAAATGAACCCAAAGGCTTCTGCATGATATTGACAGAAACAAAAATAAAGGACATTTTCCCGATGATTAGTGTGTTACTAGAAATGTAAGATGTAGTTTCAGTTAGTTTTCATTTTTGAAATGCATTTTTGTTCTGCTTACAAAAAGTTTCAATTTTAGTTCTATTTATATTATTCATTTTATTTTACTGCAATAACATTGGTGTTTAGTGTGATGGAGAATCGAGATCGGCCATTTGTGTAGCTTTGCTTCATCATCTCCATACAGTGTGGTTCCTTGATTTACAAGTTCTGATTTACGAAGTTGTAAAGCATCACTTGATCGAACAGTGCTAATGAAAGCTCTACACTAAGGCAATGTCACTCTCAAACATTTAGTAAACTGAATGTAAGTTGATTTGATGTTGCTCTGATGTTTTCCCATGCCTTCTAAACAAGCTTCAGGCAACTTAGACTTGTGTAATTTGCACACGAAGGCTTCCGCTTAACTTGTTGCTCTGTCAAAGTGACCACCTGTCTGTCTGTCATGGTGTCGGATGTTAAGCCGCTTCTCTGATGTCTTCAACAGGTCAGAACTGCCTCCACTTGGCCTCAGTTTACGGTTTCCTCTCGCTGGTGGAGAATCTTGTGGATCTGGGAGCTGATGTTAACTCAAAGGTATAGCGCGGACTTGTGTAGCATGCTTTTTTTTTTCCGGGTGTATTGGAAGTGTTCACTCCTTTCTGAATTCCTAGGGAAAAAAATGCATCACAGTTGTTTTCCTCCCATTCCCTAGGAGCAGCGCAACGGCCGCAGCGGGCTGCACCTGGCCGTCGACCAGCAGAATCTGTCGTTGGTCAAGCTGTTGCCGAAATTTAGCATGCGGCTTGCTTTTTCATGGCTTGCCAATCATTCACAAACGCATCCATCCACATAAGCAGCTCTCTTGTATGATATTGTAAATCCTGTGTATACAAAGATGTATTTTCTATGGAAGCTGTGTCTGTGTACAGTAGAAAAGGTTGTAAATGTTTGACAGTGACACTCCATTTAAATTAAAACGCTCAAATTTAACCGTGAAAAACAAAACTGTGTTTGTGGCTCCAGAGAATAAAGGCAACACAATAACGCAACAGAACACGATCAAGGCAGCAGTAATAGAGGAAATGACATTTAGCCGGTAGTTTTCTTGACCTGAATAATGTCAGGGGAGGTTTTGTGCTTCATTATTGCATAAGATATGTGAGGCAAGGACGGCCGACTGGGAATGAGGAACTTGCCACACTTAGACTAGATGCTCGGGGAATTTTGCCTGCAGAATGAGGCCGCATCAACCAGGAAGCTTTGGGGTATGTGTGGGCCAACAGGAAATTCCCAAGAACACTCAGCTGTACATCACATTCCGTCCTCTCTTGCACCAAAGAAGGGAATCTCTGCCCAACAGGCTGTTTCAGTCAAGATAAGGAAAGGGAGTTTCAACAGTTTCACTTCAACAGAGTGACGTCATTTCACACCTGATAGCAATCTGTATACTGCGCTGTTTCATTAAGTCAGGTGTGTCCTCAACACACCTGATTCAAATGGTCAGGATCGTTATCTTGCTTCTTTACAGCTTGCTCATCCTTTTGAATAAGATGTTTCACCAGGGCGGGATGGGAAAACAGGCACGGCGTCAGCCTTTGAGGACCGAGTTTAGACACCCCTGCATTCAGTGGTACTCTCCTCGTCATCTTTTTCTATCTAAACTCCATTTTTATTTTAAGAAAGACAACAATTTATCCATCCATTTTCTATACCCGTATTCCTCATTCAAAAGGAAATGATGTTCAATACCCGTTTTAAATATGTCATGACAGTTTTAGCAGAAATTTCGCTCATAGTCTTACATATTAAAGTTTCATTAAGTCAGGTGTGTCCTCAACACACCTGATTCAAATGGTCGGGATCGTTATCGTGCTTCTTTACAGCTTGCTCATCCTTTGAATAAGATGTTTCACAAGGGCGGGATGGGAAAACGGGCACGGCGTCAGCCTTTGAGGACCGAGTTTAGACACCCCTGCATTCAGTGGTACTCTCCTCGTCATCTTTTTATTTTAAGAAAGACAACAATTTATCCATCCATTTTCTATACCCGTATTCCTCATTCAAAAGGAAATGATGTTCAATACCCGTTTTAAATATGTCATGACAGTTTTAGCAGAAATTTCGCTCATAGTCTTACATATTAAAACAAAGAAGCACTGGTTATTGTGTATGTAATGTTTTGGAACACTTTTAACATCCAAGAACGTTTAGAACAATTTAACCCTTTCAGGGATGGCGGTCACTACAGTGGAGAGCTTATCATGTTATCAGGTTACAGGTTGCATGAAAAGGGTTAAATAATATCATCAATTCCTCATTCAAAAGGAAATGATGTTCAATACCCGTTTTAAATATGTCATGACAGTTTTAGCAGAAATTTCGCTCATAGTCTTACATATTAAAGCAAAGAAGCATTGGTTATTGTGTATGCAATGTTTTGGAACACTTAACATCCAAGAACGTTTAGAACAATTTAACCCTTTCAGGGACGGCGATCACTACAGTGGACAGCTTATCATGTTATCAGGTTACAGGTTGCATGAAAAGGGTTAAATAATATCATCATCAGTATTCTTACCTGAGCAAAGTTTGCATAGAACAAAACGATTAAACTATAAAACTATTATAATAAATGTCTTGTCCAGGGAAACCAAGACAAGTATTATTAAAAATGATGAGATTTATTTGACAAAGAAAAAAACATGGAGAGACACCATTCACAGATCTATCAAGGGACCCTTCTCCCCATCCCCCGCGTCTTGCGCTCTCTTTTTATCTCGTTTTCTTTGGGGAAGGTTAAGGTCAGCACAATCAGCATTTTGAGCAGCTACACAGAATGCAGTCTAGTGCATGAGCAGGCAACGTTGCTTATCTGCAAAATAACTGGTCAGCATTCAATGGTACGAACAGTCACTTACATTTTAGCACTGTGAGATGTCAAATTCCCATTACATAAAAATTGTGACATTTTATTTACTGTGCTGGAATCACCAACATGGTGCTCGCAGGCATCTGGTGTAACTCTTAAGGACTACATGAGTAGCCTGCAGGCCTGTTCTAAAAATAGCTTACCAGTGATGATACATTGTGATGCAAAGGTACCCTTTCATATGGAAGTACCTTTGGGACATCGAAATAAATTTATCCCCACACACACACACACACACACACACACACACACACACACACACACACACACACACACACACACACACACTGGAATATGCACGTTTTATTTAAAATGACTGCTGACCATACTTGTGAGGCCCCTATCTTTGCTTCTGTATTAGCCATAAAGACAAAATCAGGTGATTTAGGGCAGGGACACATATAAAAAAATCAAGGATACCGGCTTTTGAGGACCAGAATGGCCCACCCCTGTTCTTAGGGATAGCTGGGAACCCTGTAGAGGTCACTCATTTTGGCCGCTTTTATTCAGGATCTTGTTTTGGTCATGACCATAGATGATGGTAGAAACATAGATCGACCGGTAAATCAAAAGCTTTGCCTTTTGACTCGGCTCCTTCACCATAACCGACCGTGAAGAGTCTGCATGCCTCTTGATCTCCAACTCAATTTTTCCCCTCACTCCTGAACAAAACCCCCAAATACTTTGAACTCCTCCACTCGGGGCAGGATATCATCACCGACCCGGACAGGGCACTCAACCTTTTCCTGACTGAGGAACATGGTCTAAAATTTAGAGATACTGATTTAATCTCACCACTTCACACAAGGCTACGAACCACTGCAATTAAATTTGAAGGTTGTAGCTTGGTGAAGCCAAAGAAGCACATCATCGGCAAAAAGCAGAGATGCAATACTGAGGTCACCAAACCAGAACCCCACAACCGCCTATGCTGTGCCTAGAAATTCTGTCGATAAAGGTTATGAACAAAATCAATGACAAAGGGCAGCTTTGTCTGAGTCCAACTCATGGCTTGAAACTTATTTGACAATGCAGGCCTAACTCTTGACACCAATTGTACAGGGACTGAACAGCTCGTATTAGGAGGTCTGGTAAATCATACTCCTGTAACAGTAGCAGACTCCACAAGAGCCCCGAGGGACAGTTGAAAACGTTCTCCAAGTTCACAAAGCACAGTGCTCTTCCTGAATCTCACATTCGACACCTGCCAGCTTGAATTCTGCTGTGGTGACCTTACCAAGAAAGCGTTCGACTGATCACACTCAAACGGTGACACACCCAATTCCTCATGCACTCCTACCATCATCATGCCTGGAGTGGGTGTGTAGGTAGGCAAGTACAACAAGGAACTGGTTGAAATTATGGGGGAAGAATTCCTAACGTTGCCTTTAATACTGATCACACCACACAGCATGCTTGC